AAGAAAATGAAAAGGGGTGAGACTGAGGAGACCGAGAGGGGAGAGAGTGAACTGCGGATGTGGAGAGAAAAAAAAAGAGAGAGAGGACGAGGTGGAGAGACGGAGGAGGAGGACAGGGAAGTGGGGTGTCAGAGTTCTCCCTAAACCTCTGTGAAATTGCCACATCCTCCCTCACTACTCACGCTTGATGATCCATAACACCCGGTTATTGGCTTCCATCCCTAGGAGACCATCTTTCACACACACACATACATACAAAGTCTGCATACCACCACCACCACCATCACCACCACACCACCCACCACCATCACCACCACCACCACCACCACCATCACCACCCACACCATCGCCACTCACCCACCACCACACCACCACCACCACCACCACCACCACCACCACACCACCACCTTCACCACCACCACCACCACCACCACTGTCACCACCACCACCACCACCACCACCACCGTCACCACCCACACCACACCACCACCGTCACCACCACCCCACCACCCCACCACACCACCACCCCACCACCACCACCACCCACCACCACCACCACCACCACCGTCACCCCACCACCACCATCACCACCACCACCCACCACCACCCACACCACCCACCACCACCACCACCACCACACCACACCCACACCCCACCACCACCACCACCACCACCACCACCACCACCACCACCACACCACCACCACCACCGTCACCACCACCACCACCACCACCACTCACCCACCACCACCACCCACCACCACCACCACCACCACCACCACCACCTCACCACCACCACCACCACCGTCAACACCACCACCACACCACCACCGTCACCACCACCCCACCACCACCACCACCGTCACCACCACCACCACCACATCACCACCACCACCACCACCACCACCACCACCACCGTCACCACCACCACCACCACCACCCACCCACCACCACCAATCACCAACATCACCACCACCACCACCACCACCATCACCACCATCACCATCAGTCCGATCCATCAGTAAGTTTTCACCTTTTATCCATCATTCATTAACCTTACCCAACCAGAGTAGTCAGTACTTAATGGTTATTCATTATGATTATTCACCGCCTCGATGTTATTCACCACCTGTTATATTCCCGCCTCGATGTTATTCACCGCCTCGATGTTATTCACTGAGATTATTCACCAGGCCTCGATGTTATTCACTGAGATTATTCACCTCGATGTTATCTAATTGCCCTCGTTGTTATTCACCGCCTCGATGTTATTCACCGCCTGATGTTATTCACTGAGATTATTCACCGCCTCGATGTTATTCACCGCCCGATGTTCGCACCGATATTAATCTCCACTGAGATTATTCACCGCCTCGATGTTATTCACGAGATTATTCACCGCCTCGATGTTATTCACCGCCTCGATATTATTCACCGCCTCGATGTTATTCACCGCCCGATGTTATTCACCGCCTCGATGTTATTCACCGCCTCGATGTTATTCACCGCCTCGATGTTATTCACCGCCTCGATGTTATTCACCGCCTCGATATTATATTCACCGCCTCGATGTTATTCACCGCCTCGATGTTATTCACCCTCGATGTTATTCACCGCCTGATGTTATTCACCGCCTGATGTTATCTTCACGCCTCGGATGATTATTCACCGCCTCGATGTTATTCACGCCTACATCACCTCGATGTTATTCACCGCCTCGATATTATTCATCATCGATATTCACCGCCTCGATGTTATTCACCGCCCTATTATTCACCGCCTCGATATTATTCACCGCCTGATGTTATTCACCGCCTCGATGTTATCTACCGCCTCGATATTCTTCATCGCCTCGATGTTATTCACCGCCTGATGTTATTCACCCTCGATGTTATTCACCGCCTCGATGTTATTCACTCGCCCGATGTTATTCACCGCCTCCGTTGTCTACCCTCGCGATGTTATTCACACCGCCTCGATGTTATTCACCGCCTCGCAATATCTACCGCCTTCTCACTACCTCACAATCACTAGTAGTATTTATCATTGAAGTCTCACCCACCCTGTCATAAACATGTTGACTTGAGTCCTTCACCACACCCACACACACACACACACACACACACACACACACACACACACACACACACCCACACACACACACACACACACACACACAAACACACCACAACCACCGCCCCTGTAACTCTTGGGGAAGATTTTTGTTTCCATGCAGAGATAATTTTTGTCTTTATAGATAATGCAGAGAGAGGTATTAACAAGTGAATTAGAGAATCTCTCTCTCTCGTCACCAAGGGTCAAATCAACACCATCTTATATCTTGGTTCCCATTAGGCTAATCATCCTTCCTCCCCCTCCCTCTCCCCTCCATCTAGCCCCCCAATTTAATCTAGGTTTACATAAATGAACACCAGAATTTCCGTCAGTCATCCACAAGCACATCTAACCTACACAAGAATCACCAACCATAGTCCAGATGTTGTTAGAGAGAGAGCAGAGAGAGAGAGAGAGAGAGAGAGAGTGAGAGAGAGAGAGAGAGAGAGAGAGAGAGAGAGAGGAGAGAGAGAGAGAGAGAGGAGAGAGAGAGAGAGAGAGAAAAAAAAAAAAAACAAAAAAAAAAAAAAAAAAAAAAAAAAAAAAACAAAAAAAAAAAAAAAAAAAAAAAAAAAAAAACAAAAAAAAAAAAAAACAACTGCATACATTAATTTAACAGAATTCACACTCTAATCACTAACTCCCAACACTCTCTCTCACCCCCCCTGATACACACTAAAACCCATCCTCCTCCTGCGATAGATAGATAGACAGATAGATGATACATACATACATACACATACATACATACATACACATACACATACACATAATACATATAATTTTCTGGTTTAATTTATACATACAGGAAATAATGTGAATAAAACCACAGATAGAATAGAAAAATACTGAAATAACGACAAGACAAACAAATAAACAAGCAAATAATCAAACAAGCAAACAACTAACAAAACAAAAACAAACAAACAAAACAAATAAATAAACAAACAAATAAATAAACAAACAAAAAAACAAAACAAACACAGGAGAATACTACAAAAAAGAAGTATGAGAAGCAACATTTTTCTCCTTATATTACATCTGTCAAGTTCTCTGTCCTCTCAGGTAACACTCTCTCCTCCTCTCCTTCCCTTCCCTCCCTCTCTCCCCTCTCCCTCTCTCTCCTCTCTCTCTCCTTCCTCTCTCTCATATCCACTCCTTCCCCTCCCTCCCTTCCTCTCCTCTCTCCACCCCTCTCCCCGTCTCTCTCCTTCCCTCCATTCCTCCACCTTCATCCCTCCCTTCACCTTCTCCTCTAACTCACTGTTCACCATTAATCACCATCATTACCTTCACCATTAATCACCATCTCTATGCCTCCCAGACACTTACAACCTAACCTAACCCACAGGCTCCTCAGAACTCTCCCATCTCCTTCTCAATATGACGCCGGATGAAAGGGCTGGGAGAAGGTGGTGGAGGTGAAGGTGAGAGGGTTACCCATCATATCTCCAGGGTTGGTCGACCATCTTTTTCATTACCAGCCTCACTTCTCTTTGATGACAACAGCAGGATGCACACACACACACACACACACACACACACACACACACACACAGGTTAAGTTCAGAGTTCTGGGGTCTCCCAAAACCAATTAAAGTGGGCCTCAGGACCCTGCAAGTTGGGCCTCACCTGTCTCCTGGACACTGTGAGTTATTGCAGTCTATGTGTCCTCCTCTTCTTTCCTCCTCTTTTCTCCTCCTCCCTCGGCGCCTCCTCTTTCTCCTCCTTCCTCCTTCTCTCCTTCCTCTTCTTCTCTCCCTCTTCCTCCTCCCTCGGTGCTCTTCTTCCTCCTTGTCCTCCTCTTTCTTCTCCTCCTCTTTCTTCTCTCTGTCCTCCTCTTTCCCTCGTCCTCCCTTCTTCTCCCCTCATCCCTCCTTTCTTCTCCTCTCTCCTCCTCTTCCTCCTCCCGTGCCTCTATTTTGCTGTAAGTGTCCCTAATGTCGCTTATATTGTATCGGGTCAGTATGGGCATCTCTCCTCTCTCTCTCTCTCCTCAACACCCATTCAGGACAGAAGTTAAAATTTAATACTTTGTGGTATAATGTAATGTAAATGTGTGTGGGGGTCTGGGGCATGTATACGGCCTCTTATTAAACAGAGTAACTTAGAGTAATTTCAGACAAAATGAACACACACACACACACACACACACACACACACACACACCACACATTTCTCAAGCGGTCTCAACTCTTGTAAAACCCTCACAGTTCATCAACATTGCATGCTTGTCATCTAATTAACAATAAATCTCCCACAAACGGCGCTGAGGATACAGAGCTTTGCATCCATTCCATGGCCCTGACCTCAAGAAATCATCAACTGGAAGAAGTGAAGGAGGCCAAGCAGCCTCAAGTTCACACACACACACACACACACAACACCCACACACACTTACCTCGAGATCCCAGATGGATTTCAAAACTTGAGCCAGGGAAAAAGACTTAAGTGGTCTGCGAAGGACTCACAGAGAACCTTAATCGTGACTCTGAGGACTTTTACTCAAATTGAATCAGAAATGACCCAAGAGACAAGGGAGGAATTTAAACTCATTTTCACACAAACCTAAACCTCTGGTTTTATCAAAGTTAGATTACGAGACCCACCCCTCCTCTCAATGTTTCCAATAATGGGAGACGCATAGAGATATCGCAAAGACATAAACCCAATTTAAAAAAACTTAAGCAGAAGAGAGAGAGAGAGACAGAGACACAACAACAACACCCCACCCAGACCTAGTAGACAATGAAAAGATGACCTGCCTGAATTCAGGCTTCGTGTACATCTGTCGGGATATTAAGAAAGAGATCTCACCAACCAGGACCTCTGACATCTCTTTAGCTCAGCACAGACGGAAGACATTACTGTGATTAGAACGAGTAGATGGCTTCAGGCCCTCACAGATGTGAAGCACAGCCACAGTCCAACACCAAGAGGGACGCAGTTAAACCAGTTCATGGTCAGGTGGCGCCTCATAGAATTGATGGTGGGTACAGGCAAGGTGTCACTGCCACCTAGGACCTTACACACTCACTGCACCCCCCCTCTCTCTCCCGGGGTGTGAGAGAGGAGCACCACCCAGCTAAAAAGATGTCAACAACTGTGGGAGGGAAGGGAGGTGGGAGGGGGGAATAATGGCAGGTGAGATAGCCACCTATATGCAAGGTTGTAACCTGTCTCCTCCTCCCTGACACCTGCATATTACACCCCACCAAACCCTTTCCACTCACTGCACAGCGAGAGAACTTACTGCGTCATCTGTCCAGCCAAAGTGAGAGGAAATTATTTACTTTATTTAAAAGTGTCTGCCAGTTGAGTTATGGGGTTGGTGTTGCATTATCGGTGGTGAGGTAATGAAGAAGATGAGAAAGGGCTTCAATAATTGATGGGCCAAAAATCATCTCCGTCCATCACCTGTCTCGTTATCTAGCCATCTAAATTAAAACTTATCATATGTTTTCTATTAAAACAACTTTTATAATATATATTTTTATTAATTGGTGGAGTTAATCTAAGGATTGTCTGTTCTGTTATATTTTGTTATTATTATTTTATGTCATATTGTTGTTATTTGCTGTTGTTAAGGTTATTATTTAATAGTCGATTGTTGTTGCTGTTATTGTTGTTGTTGATGATATTATTAGTTAGTTGTGTTATCAGGCGAGACCTATCTTATGGAAAGATTCACTTTTAAAACGACTCAGCCTGCTGAAATGATTCCATTAATTCCTGGACGGTGACGATTTTGTAATATATTTTTTACCTCTTGTTATCTATTTGTGTTGATGAAAAACGTAGATGTTCCATTGGCTTTATTAATAATATGATATCCATATATATAAAGCCATTTTAAGTTGTTAGGTTAAGAGGTAGGTGAGGGTTTTGCTCGATGGTGAGTTTGGATTAGTTTAGGTGAGGTTTTGTTTTGCTCGATGGCAGAGTTTTGTCCGGTAGGTTAGATGAGGTTTTGTTTTACTCGATGGTGAGTTTTGTCCGGTAGCGAGTTGTCCAGTCAGTGTCCGACGGAGAAAATTGCCGAATGAAGAATAGTTCAGTGTGGCATTACCAGGAACTAACTTCCCAATAGTCAATTTCATTCCTCCCAACCTCATCCCCCCCTCCCTCCTCCTATTCCTCATCCTCCTCCTTCCTCCCATCCCCACACCTCCCTTCTTTCCCATCATCCTCCCTCCCCCTATCCTCTGCCCTCCCCACATCCCCCCTCCTCCTCTACCCTATCCCCTCCCACCTCCCCGCCTTCTTCCTCCATTACCCTCCTTCTCCCTCCATCTCCCTCATTCTCTCATTTTTCTTTCCTCCTCCCTCCCTTCCTGTCTCCCATTCTCTTCCTTCCCCCACCTCCCTCCCTCCCCCCTACAGACAACACTGAGCAACCCAATAGGAACATCACAGACCAACCCAACACAGGAGCAACCCAGAGGCCAACCCAACACAACCACAGAAAGCCAACCAACACAGAGCCAACCCAACACAGGAGAGCCAACCCAACACAGGAGGCCAACCCAACACAGAGCCAACACAGAAGGCCAACCCACAGAAACAACCCAACACAGGAGGCCAACCCAACACAGGAGGCCAAAACCAACAGAGCCAACCAAACACAGGAAGCCAACCAACACAGGAGGCCAACCCAAACAGGAAGCACCCAACACAGGAGGCCAACCAACAGGAAGCCAACCCAACACAGGAAGCCAACCCAACACAGAAGCCAACCCAACACAGGAAGCCAACCCACACACAGGAGGCCAACCCATCACAGGAAGCCAAACCACACAGACCCAACACAGGGCAACCCCAACAGTAGGCCAACCCAAATGAGAGGCAACCCAACACAGGAGCCAACCCATCACAGAGGCCAACCCAACACAGGAGGCCAACCCAACACAGGAAGGACCAACACAGGAGGCCAACCAACACAGAGGCAAACACAGGAGGCCAACCCAACACAGGAGGCCAACCCAACACAGCATTTCGTGGACCTGGTAAAACCCTCGATACAATTACATTCAGTGATCGCAGGACTTTTCCTTTACAAGCGATGGCGCGTTACAGGTGTGGGCTGTGTTGACTCTCTTGTTTCTCTTCCTTTTACACGTCCGGGAGGTGAGGGGTGGTCCTTCCTCGCTGTCACCGGAGTAGGGAAAGAGGGAGAGGATAGGGAAGGTGATAAGAGAGAGGAGGTAAGGAAGGAGGGATAGTGGTGGGAGAGGAAGGAAGGAGAAGAAAGATGGAAGGAAGAAGAGAGAGGAAACGATGGATGGAAGGAGTGAAAAGAGGAAGGAAGGAACATGACCCAGACACTAACTGATCTTTGAGTAGGAAGCAAATCTTGATGAAAAAAACTACTGAAAGATAAACAGCGAATCGTGAAGCCAGACACAGTTCCATGTCTTAATAAACCAGTGGAACAATTGTCTCCAACTACCCTCCAAGAGACAGTGAAGAGATAAGGTAAACTGTCTCTTATCCTGACAGAACCTTAACCTCACCTGTCTCTCATCCTGACAGAACCTCGACAAATCTTCTGTCTCAAAAAGACCAAAAATATAGAACCTGTTATAAAATATTAATGTTAGACTGGTAGTGATGATGTGAGTTTTTATGTTAACACAGATGTGTCACTGAATTAAGGTCACTCATGCATGGCTTCACTCACGGGACAGAACACCTGAGTCGCCATTAAGCTGCAGGTGAGGGAAGAGTCAAGGTTGAATTTCCTCCTCCCCAAACAAAAACAAACAAATAAATTAACACCAGTCCTTGTTGCTTGTTTTGTTTAGTTGTGTTCAGTGTTTGAGAGAGGATTGCTGATGAGATTCTCTCATAATAAAGTCTAAGTATTATACACACATTATTTCACTATCTTCCTCCTTGACCTCTCTCAATAAGTCTAAGTAATATACACATTATTTCACTATCTTCTCCTTTGACCTCTCTCTCTCTTCTCTCTCTCTCGTGGTAAACACTAAGTATACCTCACGTATCGTCACTACACCTTCTCTTACCCTCGACAGGTGTACAGCGGCCAGGTGGATACTTAAATGCCCTATTTACTGACGCACCTGTATTATAAGGCCAGGTGCCATGGGTTAATCTCAATTAACTTTAATCCGTCTTAGATATCACCCCCCCATGTTGACGTCTGATCCCAGTTACCCTATGACGATGTGAGGTCCCTGGGCGGGGCGGGGCGGGCGGGCGGGGGCGGGGGTAGAGGTACATAAATAAACACGCAGAGGAAATTAACGTCAATGCAACATCAACCTATTCTCTCTGCAAAATGTTACCTGTTAAAACTCTGATTATTCCAGGTACCATTTTGGGGATATTATACCTTTTAGGGATATTTTAGGTCTGACATTGTGGATATTTTAAGGTCTTGTCTTTGGGATATATTTGGATTTATATTATGGATATTTTTGGTGTTATTTTTGATGTACTTGAAATAATCTGTTATGGATATTTTAGAAACTCCCTTTGAGATATTTGGAAGTCTCTCTCTCTCTCTCCCAGGTCATGGTTTATAGCGACAGGACTCATTTCCGCTTCAGGATCTAGTACTCAGTTTAATAATGAAGAGAGTACAGGACCTCACACGACAGGTGTGGAATGGACACTGTCGTGTGTTCCCGTCATAGGCCTCATCCTGATTGGCCCCAGTACCAATACGCCCCATCAATAGTAACACAGTAGCGGTAACACACATTAGTAGTAACAGTAATAGTAAATACTAGTGGTAATAGTAGCAGTAACAGTGAATAGTATAAGTAACACGTGATTGAAGAATGATACGTAAAAATTATATTGAGAGCGTAATGGACAAACACGTACATCACACAAACACACACACAATAACACACATACAAATACATACATACTCACATACATACAAACACACACAAACAAAAACATACATACAGAGACACATACAAAGACACACACACACACACACACACACATACAAACACACATACATGCAAACAAAAACATTTCTTTATCTCTCGTAAGGACAAGAAAATAAATATATACATTGGTGATTTAATATATATATAAAACGTGTTTATGACTTGTATTAAACGAAGTCAAAGAGTTGAGTGGTGGTGGTTGTTGTTGTTGTTTTTCCTGATCATTAGTCTGAGGAAAGCGTCGGGGGAATTTATTAACAAAACCCTGGACCAATGTTTTCAAGAACTGTTAAGATGATTATAAGATTTTTTTAATTGTGTGAAATACGTGGTTTTTTTGTTTCTTTTGTGATTTGTTTTAACTCATTTACTTATTATATATATATATATTGTTTTTAATCTTTTTTTGGTGATGCCAAAAAATTTTCATTCACATTTGTTTAGGGTGTTTTAATTTTAATATTATATTTTTATTTATTTCGTATTATATTTTTTTTATTTTTTTTATTTAATTTTTATTTATTTATTTATTTATTTTTTGTATTGGAGGGTTGGTACTTGCTTTGTATAATGTATTTCAAGGCTGATAATGTGGGCGTTTGTGCATATGAGGGTGTATACTTCTCTCAGCCAGTATTCATGTTATAACAGAGGCTGGCAGTTGCACAATTTATCTTACATACACCACTGGCCCTCTCCACCACTACCCGTTCTCGCCCACCCACGCCCACCACACGCCAGTAACAACTCTCTCTCTCTCTCTCTCTTACTCTGTCTTTTTTCCAGTATCTCCTCTTCTTTTTCTCTCCTCTCTTTTTCTCTCACACACACACCACACACACACACACACACACACAACACACACACACACACACACACAGTACTGTCTATATATCTTTATTTCCTGAAGAATTCTTCCTTCACCTTTTCTGATTCCCTTTTTTCCCTCCCTTTCCTTCCTCCTTCCCTTCTTTTTCCCTTCCCACATTTAGGTAAGAATTTATCTTTTTTTACCCTCCTCCTCTCCTCCTCCCCTTGTTTCAGTATTATCTCTTGTTTGTTGTATAAAATTATTTGTTTTGTTGTGAAGGATTTTGCAGGTCATGTCGGGTTAGGCAGGGTCATCAAGGTCAGGTCAGGCTGTATCGTGTCGGGTTAGGTTAGGTTAGGTTAGGTCATGTCAGTTAGGTCAGAAGGTTAGGCCAGTTAGGTCAGGTTAGGTTAGGTTGGATTAGGTTAAGTTAGGTTTTGGTTTGTGAGTTGTTTTTTTCTCTGTCTAGGTTATTTCCAGTTTGTTTTCGTTGGTATTTCAGTTATGTAGTGGTTTTAAAATGCGTTTGTATGGATTCTGAAGCTGCTTTCTTCCTGTTAAGGCTTTCTCTAGTACAATGACTTAACCCCTTGAGTACATTGACTTAACCCCTTGATTTCATTGACTTAACCCCTTGAGTACAATGACTTAACCCCTTGAGTACAATGACTTAACCCCTTGAGTACAATGACTTAACCCCTTGAGTACCGTGACTTAACCCCTTGAGTACAATGACTTAACGCCTTGAGTACCGTGACTTAACGCCTTGAGTACCGTGACTTAACCCCTTGAGTACAGTAACTTAACCCCTTGAGTACCGTGACTTAACGTCTTGATTACAATGACTTAACCCCTTGAGTACAATGACTTAACCCTTTGAGTACCATGACTTAAACTACAGTCTGTGGCAACCTTCACTGACTCCAGGAACCAAACATGAAGATAAAACTTGGGCTTATTTACATATATGTCCTGAATTTATCGTGTAGTAACTCATGGTGTGTGTGTGTGTGTGTGTGTGTGTGTGTGTGTGTGTGTGTGTGTGTGTGCGTGTGAGAAAACTCTCTACCACCTGAGTTACTGCATACGGTCGTTTACACTCTGTTCCTTCCTCCTCTTCCACCTCACAAGCCATCCTCCTCTTTCCTCCTCCACCAAAGTCATCCTCCTCCTACACCCTCAATAGCCAGACGTCGAGAACACTTCAACACACCGTCAGTTAAGATGCACTCTCCTGACTCTCACGCAAAGTTACCCACTCACACGTATGTCATCAAGTTGTTGAGACGTTTCCCAGCCGAGTAAAGTTTGCTTCAAGTCGAGTCTTCTTCAATACATGAGGAACGGGCGGACGTCAGCTGTGAAATCAGGAACAAGTCGAGGCCTTGCAGGAGGCAGAGCCTGGGAGAGGTGGGGTGGGGTGAGGGTGGGTGGGGTGGGGAGGGGGTGGGTGGGGGAGGTGGGGGGGGTGGGGTGGGGTGTGGGAGGGGTGGGGGAGGGGGGGTGGGGGTGAGGGGTGGGGTGAGGGTGGGTGGGTGGGGTGAGGGTGGGGTGGGATGGGGTGAGGCAGCTCTGCACTCCTGCTGTGAAGGAAGTGATAGGTTGTCATGTGAGATACTAGGGGAAATATATTCCATGAATAGGAGAGAGAGAGAGAGAGAGAGAGAGAGAGAGAGAGGTACCAATATGAAAGTGTTACATTAAAATTATTAGCTACATGGAACACGTCCGTCAACAGAAACACTATAGCAACAACAGGGTGAGTGACCGTTGAGTGACCCCTGAGAACTACCAGTCGTCCACCACTGTCACACACCCTAAAGGCCAGGCCGGATATGACAACAGGGCAGAGAGCGAGTTAGGATTATTACATGATGTCACAATTTGTCAATTCATAAGATTATACTAATTCCTTTATTCCTCATGCTAGCTGAGAGTTATATTTCTCATCATTATTTATAATTGATGGACATAAGTAATTAATTATCTTTCTCATCATTTTTATTATTTTTGATGGATTACTTTAATTATAATCTTGTTACGTGTTTACTCACCACCACTCGTGTCTCTCAGGTCCAGTGTAACTGC